CTACTGTTGTAAAAACCAATAACGCACCTTTTTATAGCTTTACCAAAAAAATAACCCCTAAATTCAAAACCCATATAAAAAAAGGAATAGAAAAAATTTATAATACCTTTATTACAAAAGTTGCTGAGGGACGCAAAATGAATATAAAAATAGTAGATGAAATAGCACAGGGGCGCGTTTGGACAGGGGCGCAAGCGATCAAAAATGGTTTGGTAGATGAACTCGGAAATTTAGACCTGGCTGTTGAAAAAGCAGCTGTTTTATCAGGGGTAGAAGGGGGGTATAAAATAAAACACTACCCCAATAAAAAGAAAAATTACGACGCACTTATCAAGCAACTTTCGCAGATTTGGACGCCTTCTGTTCTTAAAAAAATGCCCGCTGAAATGGTCAAAATGTATGATTTTTTTGAAAAAACAACACGAGAAAAACACCCCTCTATAAAAATGCACTTGCCTTTTGTAATGAATTTGAATTGATATTTTAAACAAAAATTTTATAAAGAAAAATGAAAAAACAATTTTTATATAGTATTATTTTGTTAGGATTTTTTGCCTATTCGCAATCTAAAAAATTTACTGACAATGCGCTACGAGAAACTTTTTTATCCATAGATAAAAAAGAAACTACTTTTGAAAAAGTTTTGAAAACCCATAAAGGTAAACCTATCTTAATAGATTTTTGGGCTTCTTGGTGCCCCGATTGTATAAAAGGTTTACCAAAATTAAAAACCTTGCAAAAAGAATTTCCACAGGTTCAATATGTTTTTTTATCGCTTGATAGAGAATTAGAAAAATGGAAAAACGGCATCAAAAAATACGATATTAAAGGGGCGCATTATTTTATAAAAAATGGATGGAAAAAATCTACGCTTTGTAAAGAAGTTCAATTAGACTGGATACCCCGCTATATGCTTTTAGATAGAACTGGAAATATTTGTTTTTTTAGGGCTGTAGAGGCAGATGACGCCAAATTAATCAGCGCTATCAAAACATTGATAAAATAAGTTACAGGGTAGGGGGTAACAAAACAAAAAAATTATGAGACAAAAAATAGTCGCGGGTAACTGGAAAATGAATAAAAATTTTGAGGAATCCAAAACCCTTGCAAAAGATATTCAAAAAGGATTAGATGGTAAAAATTTAAACGGGCTTCGTGTGATGATTGCTCCGACCTTTGTAAATTTAGCAGGGGTAAAATCTGTTGTTACAAATAAAAATATTACAGTCGTAGCACAAAATGTGCATCAAGCGAGTAGGGGTGCTTATACGGGGGAAATTTCTACAGGAATGTTGGAAAGTATCGGTATTAAAACAACCCTTATAGGGCATTCCGAAAGACGCATTTATTTTGGTGAAGATGATATTTTGCTCAAAGAAAAAGTAGCAAAAGCTCTGGGTGATAATTTTGAAGTGCTTTATTGTTTTGGGGAGCTATTGGAAGATAGAAAAGCGGAAAAGCATTTTGATGTTGTAAAGGCACAACTTAAAAATGTTTTGTTTGATTTACCCGCTGATGATTGGAAAAATATCATTTTGGCTTATGAACCTGTTTGGGCGATTGGCACGGGGGAAACAGCTACCGCAGCACAAGCACAAGAAATGCACGCTTTTATCAGAAAAACAGTCGCCGATGCTTATGGTGACAAAATTGCAGATAAAGTGAGTATACTTTATG